AACTCACAGAATAACATAAAAATACATGGGTCCATTATCAATAAAATAATTGAATAAACATGAGGAAGAAAACTCCTCTCAGTATAATGGATAGTTTACCTAACAAAAGTAGAAGGAATGATAGAGAAAATCATTTGGCAAACACTACACTAATAATTGTTTCAGGAAAGAACCATTAATATCTGCTAATTAGTGGGCCAAAAAGTATGATGAGAAATAGGATCCTCATAAAGTCCCAAAATTTTCCCACAAGATACTTAAATTTACAAAGGGAGAAACAGTATTTTGATAGTGGGGAAATCTGACACACGAGACATAGCCGTAACCAAGTGATCAAAGTTAACATTACTCGTAATGTAATAGAGCAAAATGAAAAACAGTAGTTTGATAGTGGAGAAATCTGACGGACACCAGACATTGTCATAACCAAGTGATCAAAGTTAACATTACTAGTAATAGAACAAATTGTCATCATGTCCTTGGTAATAAGATACACCGAGGACACATCAGTACTTTAGTATTCTTGCCAAAAAATACATAAACTGAATTTAATCATGAGGAAACATTAGGTAAACTTCACATTGAGAGCTCTTCTACAAATAATTGGTCTGTACTTTTCACAAAGTCTAAGGTCACAAAAGATAAACATCGAAGTGTCCCAGATTAGGAGACTAAAAAGAGATGACAACCAATGAAGGGATTATGAAGTGGATCTTGGACTAGGAGTACATTAGTAGGCCAAATGGAGAAATTTGAAGGTCTGTAGAACAACAGTGTAAGGTAGTATAATAGATAATAGTATTGTAATAATGTTAATTCCCTGATTTCAACACTTGTCCAGTGGTTATGTAAGATGTTAATATTTGGGGAATATAAGTAAAGCATATAAGGAAATACTCTGTAATGTTTCTGCAATATGTTTATAAGTCTGAACTATTTTCAAAATGAAAAGTTTTTAAAAAATTAAAAAGAAGTATTGGCCGGGCGCAATGGCTCACGCCTGTAATCCTAGCGCTCTGGGAGGCCGAGGCGGGTGGATCGCTCAAGGTCAGGAGTTCGAGACCAGCCTGAGCAAGAGTGAAACCCCGTCTCTACTAAAAATAGAAAGAAATTAATTGGACAACTAAAAATACATAGAAAAATTAGCCGGGCATGGTGGCGCATGCCTGTAGTCCCAGCTACTTGGGAGGCTGAGGCAGGAGGATGGCTTGAGCCCAGGAGTTTGAGGTTGCTGTGAGCTAGGCTGACGCCACGGCACTCTAGCCAGGGCAACACAGTGAGACTGTCTCAAAAAAAGAAAAAAAAAAGAAAAAGAAAATATATTCTAAAAGGGAAACATCTGACAAGTTCTTATCAAGTAGTTAGAGGAAACCAAGGAAAAAAGTGCACTAACCACATGGGACTGAATGGTTAGCAAAGGAGAAAGCAACCACGTGGTCTTAGAATGCCTGATAACCATAGAAATGAAGTTCGGGCATCTGCAATGTGTTGAGAGAAGAATGCATAGTATACAAAGAAAGCAAACTGAATTAAAAATATCAAAAAATGATGGGACAAAGTGGGGATTTTTAACCTGTGGGTGGGGGCAGGCAGAGGGGTAGGCCAGAAAGAACCTTCAAATATTTGAAGCCATTAAGTACAAGTGAGATTATATTTTTTTCTTTATGGTCTTAAATCTGTATGTAGGGTTAACAGATGGAAGACACTAGTGAAAGAACACATTCTAACACCTACTGATTTTCAAGATATGCCTTGGTAGGATTTTGTAAAGCACAGGACAGACAACCCTTTGGCAGTGGAGGAAGATTATTTATTTTCCAACCCAAGATATTGTAATGCCGTGGAACTATGTTCTGAATTAGGTAGACTCTAGTAAATAGGAATTTGAAATCTCCCATTACTTTGGCCATTAATTTGAACAAAAATACTCATAACATTTGTCTCAACTTCTTTATATATTAGAAAAAAAACCCCACAACCAGTAAGCAATAATTAAGTGGAACAGAAAATAAGAACACTATTGAGTTTGACAAATTTATTGGTATTTTAGTAAAGACATTCATCTCAGTCATTTCTCTCTCCCATCTTGACCTTAGGTTAATATGTCATTTGGGTCAAGAAAAGAATATATAGGAGAGGGATGTTATTTTAACAAACAGTAAAATGGACAAAAATGGATAGTTTGCCTACAGTAAAGTAAGTTAAAGTTAAATTCATGTATCTTGATAAAATTAAATCATGTAAGAACTAAGAGTTCTATATACATTTCCATTGTTTTACCTGGGGCTTATTCTAAACTTAAAAGCAAGTGAACAAAGTGTTAGGAATATACACAGGCTGCTTCTCTGGAGTTATTACCTACTAAAAGAGCTCAGCGAGTAGTTACCACCAATAAAATAGACTGAAGCTGCCTCCAAATTTTAACATTGCAGGAGTTTTCAAGGGAATCATTATACTGTATGTTTCTTTTGTCTCTATGCTTTTAAAGATGTGTAACTGTCACATTAAAAAAAAGTTCATATACAATACAAAAATACAAAAACAAACACCCTACAAATACACAAATCTAACAAAGTAAATGTGGTGAGAGATTCCATAAAATGTGTTTGAAGATGCATTTTCTTTCGTTCTATTTTCAGTACCTAAAATGTGCTTTTTGAAAGGCCATCATTGGTCAATATGTATATACTTAAAATAAACCATATAATTGTACTTATAAGAAAGCCTGTAGTTAAGTTCAATTCAAATTGGATTTCACGAGTTAGTAACTTAAATGCTTAGACAAAGTTACAGAAAGTGCATCTTCTCATTTTCCATCTTCGTACAATGTTAAATTTTTTTTTGGTGTTTATACCTTTTAAAAAATAAAAACAGCCAGATACTTAAGCAATATGTACATTTAAATTTTTGGTGGTGGTTTGTATTTTAAAAGAAACAGCTTCCTTAGGATTTGCCTCAAGTTCTGGTGGAAATGCTTACAGGAACTAGCTAATAAACAAAAACCAGGAGAAGCACATTCAAAATACTGATTTACTTTGGTAGCAAATGGTTTTTCTTTGAAGACTAGTGAAGAAAGACAAGACCCATTTAAGGTGAAGTGAGCTATTTCAAATACTC